GACCAAAAACTGTAAAGTCATCACTGACACAGTGAGAAACGAGGCAGCATAGAATCAGGTGGGGAAGGGCCCTCCCACCCTCTAGACGTGGAAGAACTGAAAATAGGGGGGCAGTCTTTTCCCAGAGTGGACACATGGCCTCCCAGGGCCAGACCCAACCCAAGATACAGAGTCCAGAAGGGTGAGCTGCCAGCCTCGGGAAGGTTCTGGTGGGGCAGCCCCGGGCCAGACATGCAGGGCCACACCCAGGATGGGAAATCGATGTTGCTGGCACAAGAGACTCCCAGCTGGGTGACCACAGGCTCAGCCCAGGTCTGGTAAGCCTCCCAGGACCTCCTCCCCCCACTGGCCAGCACCCCGTGTCTAGGGGAGGTGCCTGCCGTCTGGCTCTGCGGCACCGTCAAGGCACACGGTGGTCATGATGCTTGGTGAAGGTCTGGACCAAGGGCTGGCCAGGATCCCACTGGGCATGGGGCAAGGGAGGTGGAGGAGCATGTGGCCAGGCCGTTCTGGCCCTGCACCCAGAGGACTGGACAGCCGCTCTCCCCTCAGGTAGAGGGAGGGAGGCCCAGGGAGCGGCCCGGCAGGAGCACGCAGGCCCAGGCCCACCCAGAATGGAAGGGAGAGCGCCAGCCTGTGCCTGCGTCGTCAGGGGTACAGCCGTCCCCTTCCCTGTTGTCTTCAGGAGCATATGAGACAGGCTCAGTTGTCGTTTTGAAAGGACCTCAGTAGCTCGCGGGGGGCAGGGGCCTGGTTCCCACCCTTCTGTGCCCTGTCCGGCTGCCACCTCCATCCAGCTCACCTCAGCCCAGCTCCGGCCCAGGCCCAGTGGACGTGCAGGGGACTGCCGGGAAGACTTCTCCTTGACCCTTTCTGCACCCACCCCGTGTGCACTTGTCATCAAGGAAATGCTACGGTGCAAGAGGGGCATCAGGGCAGAAGGGTTTAGGGGCCGTTTGTTTTATGCAGTTTTACTTCTTTAAAAACCCCCTATCCCACTCGACCATTGGGTTCAGGCTGTGGAGGTGGGGAGCCAGGAATCTGTATTAAACCGCTCCCAAGGTGACACAGTAGCCAGGTGCAGGCTGCTGGGTCATTGCTGGTGGAGCTGACTCACTGCACCCAAGGGCCTGTGGGGCCAACTTCCTCCAGCCGGGCCCAGTAAGACACCCTGCCCCCAGGAATGTCCAGTCCAGACTTCCTCAAGGCCCAAGGGACTGAAGGCCAAAGGGCAGGAAGAGCAGGGAAGGGAGGAGTCCTGGGAGGCGGCTGGCCTCCGCCTCAGGGCTGGCCTGAGGTGCCCAGTGCCACTGGCCACATGCTTAGTAAGCAGATGATCTGGAAAGAGGCCAGGGCAACTCGCCCTCAGGCACAGCTCTCCATGGAGCTTGGTTCTCCCCCCCCCCCCCGGGGCCTGTCCAGTCTGTCCAGGGTCAGCCTGTCCAGGCTGATTTTTTTTAAGATTGATTTATTTATGCATACAGAACTGAGGCACAGACCAATCCACCAGAGACAGAGTGGGGAGCAGAACAGGCCGACTGAGGAAGTACACTGCTGAGGGGAGCAGTGGGGGTCACCTCCCTGGCCCGGGATCAAACTCGTGCTGCAGTGGCTGTGATAGCCTCTTAGCGCTGTGCTCCAACCAGGGAGGGACCCCAGCAGAAGCGGGCTGGACGGAGGAGAGAAGGGGAAACTGAGGCTGGAGAAGGCATGAAACCCAGGTGTGAGCCCTCACTGAGAAGGGGGGGCCACCTGCCCAGATGGCCTGTGGCCCTCCAGGCCAGCACCCAGGGTACACCGAGTGCCAGCACCTGTCCCCACGCACCCAACCCCAAGTCCCATCCTAACATACCCAGGTTCTTGAGCAACAGTGAAAGCCTTGCCGCAGAGGAAGAACATGGGGACTTTGGGCGAAAATCTAGAAAATGTCACGCCCTCATCCACTTAACGCCCTCAAGGAGTGCCCACATCCCTTCCGCGGGCCGGGCCTGGCCGGGGCTGACCTCGGTCCCGAGCGCCCGCTGGCGGGGAGAGCAGCAGACTGCAGCACAGCAGCCAGGCTCCCGGGGTGGGACACGCACACACCGGCAAGAGCGCGCTCTCTGTGGGTGTCTCCACTCAGGCCGGCTGGCGAGGTCCTTCCTGCAGTGGGTCCGGCCCACACACTGGGGAAACTGAGGCCCGTGACCAGCACAACTGAACCAGAAGCGACCGCGAGCATAGAGGCCCAGGGGCCCCAAAAGGACATGCTCGTACAGCCAGGCCTCGGATACCCCTGACGTGACGCGGCCATGTGTGGAGACGCACCTGACGTCACGCGGCCATGTGTGGAGACGCACCTGACGTCACGCGGCCATGTGTGGAGACGCACCTGACGTCACGCGGCCACTGTGCGGAGACGCACCTCGAGGCGGAAGCCCAGGAAACGGAGGTGGGTTGGCAGGCGCTTCTCTCCCCCATGGAACTGACTGGCACCGTCACCCCGGAGGAGCGCGTACCAGTGCTTTGAGCCTTTCCTCAGAGGCCAAGCGCAGACTGGTGGGTTTGGAGGCGACTGGATTTGCGACCAGTGGGCCTCTAGGTGCTGGGGGCACCAGTATGCAGGTGGCCCCAGAGACACCCCCAGATCCTAGCAGGCTGCAAACCTCTGTTGTAAAGGCTGAGGGAACCTTGCAAGGCAGCCCCAGCAAGGCGGGACCCCCGAACACTCGCACTCCTCGCAGCTGAGCCCGCCCCAGAGCTGAATCCAAAGGCTGTGAACGCTGCGACCTGCAAGCAGCCGGCCCACACCAGCTTGGCCTGGGTGCTTGGGGCGTGGCTCCCAGACCTGGGGATTGCTATTGACCAACTGAGGTCACTGGTGCAGCTCCCTGTCTATAAGCCACATCTGTGGGGTGAGCCTGGGTCCCGGGAGCCAAACACTTTGGGTACAGGTGGGGTGCCTACCCCTCGGGTTTCAAGCTGCCCCAGAACATGGTAACGGGGCTCATTTCCCAGACTCCCACACTTACTTCCAGAACCAAGTGTCTCAAGAGTCCTTCGAACCACCAACGGTACCAGCTGAAATTTATAATGTAAAAACTCAAATAGTCCATACTAATCTTAAAAAAAAAAAAAAAAGAGGGGCCTTAAAGGGCTAGGCACACAATGGGAGACCCACTGGGTCATAAACAGCACGCGTTTGTTGGAGGAGCTGCCTCTCCAGAAGCTGCTGCGCGGCTGGACTGTTGCCGACCTAAACATTTCCTTTCAAGCTTTTTAACTAAATACAAATAAAATGAGGGGCCGTCGTAACTTGGGGAAGCAGCCGTAAATGCCCCGGTTTTGCTGAGGGCCATGAAATTTGTGTTGGACTCTTTAAACCCTCCTGTACCAAGGTCTGCTGTCCACAGAGCAGATTCAGGTGACCCCTGGAGCTCACACAAATAGAGGGGGAAATGCTCAGGTCTGCCCCACTGGGCCCCCACACCCTGGGGAGACACTCGAGTGGAATCTAGAAGCCAGCCTGCTGGACAAGGTCATCAAGTTGATCACAGCTGTGTCAGCTTTCTAGGAGGCAGGAGCAGGGCTAGGAACATTTGATAAAAATAAACTGTAATAGTTGAAATTTGACATTAAAACAGGTTTCCTCCGGCAGTCTTCCTTCAACTGACTTTATTCCAAGAGTCCAGATTTTACTGAAGAGTCCCAACCTGACTACCTACAAGATAACTCATGTAATTAAGTGGAAAGTTGTGATACTGAGATAAAACGCAATGAAATAAATCTGTTGTAGCCACTATACCTCACAAAAACCAGGTACTAAGCACATCAGTCTAATGATTCTTTTTTCCAATTAGCTGAACTGGGCCTCCCTGGTGCCACAGTAAACACAGCGCTACCAAGCTATCTCCTGCAACCGCTGTGGAGTTTGAACCCAGCAGGCCAGGGAGTGACCCACATGGCGCAGCAGGTCCCTCTTGTCCTGCCTGCTGCTCCCCTCAGCAGTGTTATCAGTATCCCTCTGTTGCGCTCCCCACTCCTCCTCTGGTGAATCCTCTCACGCCCCACCCCCACCCCACCTTAGTTCTTCTGCATAAGTATTTTAAAAATCTAATGAACCACCCATGTTCCCAACCAGGCTCTTGATCTCTTGGGCCTTCCCGGCTCAACGGCTGGAAGGCTCACAAAAGCCTCAAGGTCAGACCTCAGTCTCCCCTCTGCAGAGGAAGCCAGTTCAGCTTTCATCACCACAAGGAAACCTTAAGGCCCAAAGCCACATTTACTCAAGAAGTTGATGAGTCCCAAAGGGCACTGAGAAACTGTGGAAGCCTAGTTCTTGCTCGAGAGCCTGAATTTCCTTTGTATCAAAAAGGTGTTGAGTTGTGATGACCAAAATAAAACTGCAGACGAGCCCCATCTTTTTGTTTTGTTTTGTTTTAATGATTTATTCATCGAATGACTTAAGGTGTGTGCTCCTCCGGTTGGGTCAACCACAGTGAAGAATTTGACTGCAGGTCTTTAGATTCAGCCAAATGCTTTCCATCACCTTTGCTCTATAAATACTACAACTAAGATTTTAATGCTTCAGCCATACTCAACACTGCAGTGTGAAGATGAACTCAAACACTAGTGCCAGCTCAGGGTGACAGGAACAGAACTAATGAGCAGTGAGGTCTGAAAGAATCAGAGAATCTAGATTAAGACGAAGAGAGGTTCTGTCTCCCCGAAAGTAAACGAAGTTTTCAAATTCAGCCTACGCTGTTCTCAAGAGACCAGAAAAAGTTATTTTAAAAGTGCGACACAAGTATGCAATTTTCCACGACTGGCACAAAGAAAGGCTTCAGATACACAGCAGTCAGAACTACGTGTTCCTAAGGGTCTTGACTCCTAGATCACAGGTCATTCTGTGCTCCGGTGGCAGTTGAGAGGGCAAAGGAAGAGAAGAGGGGAGAAGTTATGATTACTACGTGACAAACAGCATTTAAGATTAAATGCAATGGAAAAAAAGTAACAAATGCTAAAGTTTTTAAAAAGTTTAATGGAGCCAATAAGGCATATAAATTGTGTTCTGGCAGACATTAAGACCTGCTTTCTCTTACCAAAGAAAATGGCACATGTTTTATCAAAATTTGACAATCAAGAGTAAAGGGTACTGAGATTAAGCTTCAGAGCACCAACTAAAACAAAAACAACCCAAAAATTGTTATTCAACCTGGAAAGAGGAACTAGAACCAAGGCATAAAGGGGAGAGTAAATATGTGTTCCTCAATCTCAAAACCCTTTAGGGAAGCGTTCTGGCCACTCGTGAGCAAGGCATCACCCGCCAGATCCCAACTCCAGAATCTAAATTTACAACAATAGAAAAACAAAGCTAATTCCAAATGCAGTTCTGGTATATTCCAAAAAGGAAGCTTGAAAGTTTTCATAATACATAGGCTTGTCCGTTTCAGGTAAAATTGACAGGTTGCTATAATTTTCCTGCTATTATATTTCAAACAAAAAATGTTCCACTTTTGCAAAAATTTAGAACTACCTCACTTTCATTCCTAGTTTTAGTATGGTATTGACTTCTTAAATAAGAGCTATATCTATAATGAATACAGAACTTCAGTTCACACCACAGTTTCTAACATTCTGTTCACATCCACCCAGTTGATGAATATATGGTTAACTTAGCAAGTTTTAACAAAGTGCTGTAATTACTGGAAAAACCCTTACACTGATTTGCAATGGTCTTTTAAGGATAAAAACAGGAAGTAACTGATACTGGACTACAAGTTTGCAAGGAAACATTTTTCACTGTCCTACTTGATCTATATGATATGATAGAATAAATTACAGTACCTGGGGCAGGCTGACATCAGTTCATCTAAGAAGACTATCATCCAGTTCAAGATACTAAAAATGAAGATGAAACATGCTCTAAAACACTGTAGCTACAAGAGGCCTCAGACCTCACTCAACAGAGGACTCTATTGAGGACTTTTATTTAGGTCTACCTAACATCTAGAGAACCTCCATGCGATTCCATCTTTTCCAGAATGAGATTCCAAATGCACTTTTAGAAGAGGGACTGGAGAGTTGGGATTTGCTATCTAAATTATGATCACACCATTAGCAAATAAAAGACTTTTTAATCTCCCACGCATCCCAATGGGAACTGCATCAAGTAGAGCTTTCATGAATAGTGTAAACCAGTAAGAAAGACTAGAATCCCAGCCCCTCCCGCCAGGCTCTTCCCTCCCTCCCTCTCACTAACACTGAACCAAAAAGGAAGCCCATCCTCAGCGCTGGGATCTCTCCAGGGAGGCAGCTCGCAGTCTACATGTTTACATTTACCACAAGGACAGCGTCCTGCATGGGAAGTAGCACTTGCCTTGAAACTGAGTATTTGGAGCCTACAGGGTTCATCTGGGGGCAATTTAATAATATTGCTACTTTTAGAGCACTAACACACACAAAGTGAATCCGATAAAGTTCTGTGTATTGATTCAGTATTAAGTATTAATTGCATGACCATCATAGCACCTCTTGACATTACACAATCACCAGAATTAGAAACTGCTTTGAAAACTAAACACCGGGCAGTCCAATAGTCAGAAGCTGCACGCTGCGACCGCAGTCAGGTGCACGGTACAGTGCGCTGGAAGATGGGAGCCTGCAGACTGGATGAGGAAGCCAAATGGTGTGTTTTAGACAACTTTAGGAACCTGGCAATACTGCTGAAGCAATACTCAACACAGCAGGAAATGGACCCCAGAAATAAAAATAAAAATAAAAGGCCGGGGGAGGGGGCATTCTATAACCAAATAAACATCTGATATTTCCTTTCCCTTTGAGAATAAATACAGTTAAGGTCACTTTTAGCCTTGGAACGGATATGTTTGCCTATGATGATCCTGCCAACGCCTACACGGTTTTTGATGTCCTCTGCTAGGGTTATAGTTTCAAGAAAGCCATAGTTACAAGAGGCATCTACTGTAAATACCTAGAACTTCCTTTTATGGCAACCGCTATAGAATTCACTTGTCTTAAACAGTGAACAAGGGAAGATGGCCTCATGTTTCCTTTGCAGTAATAGTATATGTTGAGGATCAAGTGGCTTTCAAGCAGCATGGTGGGTGTGAAAATGTTTGCGCTTTAGATCATTCTGTTGCGTTTATGGGTTGGTGAGTCTGTAATGACATCGCCACACTGGGCTGAGGTACGCTTTCTAGTTCCACCATTGTCCAAGTGGAGTGCCATTTCTTCTGATATGAAAGTGTTCAAATCGACATCATGGAGTCCATTTCTCCTTCGACTAGCATTCGGTCCACTGCTTACATGAGTAGGAGAGCCTGGGGCGCTCGAGCGCACGCTTATACTAGCCATTGCACCACTAAGACCTAGGAAGAAGAAAAGAGGTTTTAGAGTTGCTCCATTATTTAGCCCTCTTGAAAGCAACCCACTTCACTTTCAATGTTGTCATAGTGTCCAAGGATGTCTGCCTGTTTTGTCAGGGGTCACCAGGGAGAAGTTTTATTTGGGGAAACCAATCATCTGCTTTGATACAAAATGTGATTTGGCCATTTACCAGTTACTGGAAACTTACCATGTGGCACACACTGGCTAGCGAGGGCACAAATCCCTCATGAGATCCTCCCCGCCGTTCTATTAGGTAGGTACTGGGCACTACTTACAGCCATGTAGGAGGCGCTTGCTCTACATAGAACACTTTGGTTATCCAAAAATCACCATTCCAAAAGCTCCCTCTGGTGTGGATGTGGATGCATGCAGGAGAGCAAGCAATCGCTTCCAGGCCTATGGGCTTGTTCCACTGTGGAGACTTTCAAAACTACCCTCAAAACCAGCACAGTGTATTTAACACTGCTGGGGCAATCCATGAAGTCAGTCTGCCCTGGACAAATCAGGCTCCACTATCACTGAGGTCTGACCTCTACTTGATGGACACCCCCCAGGAGAACCATCTGTCGCCCTGTGGAGGAGGCGAGGGAGCAAGGGTGGGGCAAGTCTGCTACTTTGCTTCCCAAGTCATCAAATCCAGACTACCTTTAACACCCACAGTGGGGACACTGCTTGAACAGCTAGGGGCCGGCAAACACGCCCAAGCCTATGTGTTTGTGCAGGAAGAGCCTGTGGAAGGCATGAGTGGGGCCAGAACACAAACCACAGTTTAACTGAAGAAACTAACACCAATGACTACTGCTTTTCTAAGAACCTTCCCTCACACAGGCAGTGAGTTATCACTAGACCAAGTTTACGTAACATGATCTCATGCAATCAAAGTCTCCAAAGAACAGGACTTAGATTTTAAAATAAGCTTAGAGGTTGGTTTGGTAGAAGTCCCTTCTAATTTCATACTCTGTAAATGAGATTTAAATTTGAACATTCAGTTGAAAAGGAGTCTGCTTCCTACCACATCAAATCTACTAAGTCCCTCTGACATTGTTCTCCACACACACTCTGAACATGATTAAACCCAAGGCCTCCACCACCTCCCATCTGTGATCATGGCTTGCAACCCACACTTCCCTTCCAAGCCACTCTAGACGTCATCAGCCCCCCTAGCTGCTCTCCCTGGAGATGTACGTCCCTCCTCCGAAGGTGGCCAGAGGAAATCTGATCAAGTCTCCCGGCCCCCTTTGGCTCTAAGCCTTTCCAAAGCTAGTGTTCATAAAAAAATAAAATCCTAATACTGGTTGCAACACTCCAGTCCTTCTGTTCTCCAGCTGCCAGCTCCTTCCTCTGGCACCTTTGGGGTTTCTCTTCTGCCTGATGTCACCAATAGCCTTGCCCCTTTAGCTTACACGTTGGCATCAGTTTCCTAACCAGTGCCACTGAAGCGTTTCTCCTGAGCTCAAGGATCAAGCCACCTTTCTTACTGCTTGTGGGCATCCCAAAGTTACTGCTATGACAAGGAGTTTCCCTGCTTCTTCTTCCCCAGACCACACAGGCATATTAAAAGTTCATGAACAAGGGCTTCCCTGTTGGCGCAAGGGGTAGGGGTTAGTTAGGTCTCGGCACTATGAGGCTGTCCACAGCCACTGCAGCATGAGTTCGATCCCCAGCCAGGGAGAGACCCACACGGTGCAGCTGACCTCTCCTGTCTCCCCGCCGCTCCTCTCAGCAGTGTATTTCAGTGATCGCCTGTTCTGTTCCCTACTCTGTCTCTGGTGAATCCCCTTTACTCAATCCCCTCCCCACACCTCTGGCCTATACCCAGGTTCTTGTATGCATAAATAAACCTTAACCAAAAAAATAAAGAGTACATGAACAAAAGGCAAAGGAACTTATTAGGCTAATTCTATATTGCATAGAAACCCTTCTCTATATCTAACGAACATGACACAATACCTGGTGTATCTGTAACACCCACTTAATTCTTAAAAACAAAACAATGGCCCTCCCTGGTGGCGCAGCAGGTTAAAGCACAGCACTGAGAACCTGAAGCCACTTCAACATGAGTTCAATCCCTGCCCCGGAGCTGACCCCCATGGTGCAGCAGACCTCTCCTGACTGGCCTGCTGCTCCCCTCAGCAGTGCACTTCGTCAATCTGTCTATCCTGCTCCCCACTCTGTGTCTGGTGAATCCTCTCACCGTCCCTGCATCTCTGGCCTGTACCCCAGTTCTGTATGCACAAATATTTATTAAAAAACAAAACAACACTTCAAAGACCTATCCCTCATTTTGAAGCCCAATGAAATTCAGAGCTGTTGCTATTTATCCATCCCTCTAACCAGGGGCTGGATACATATTTCCACCAAGAAACAGACCTTAGTAGTTCTCTCACCTTCTCTGCCAACAAGTTTGTCAGTTGTCCCAAACTGTTACTAGCATTTTCCCCCAAGTTCTCCATCAAGACTGTAAATCTTTTAAGGGAAAACTATGCTTTTCTTCTCCCTCGGAGCAGCCCCCATTGTACTCTTAGTGCCGCAACAAGTTAGAGCGCAGCACGATAAAGCTATCCCAGCCGCTGCAACACGAGTTCCATCCCCGCCAGGGAGTGTCCACATGGCTGGCAGACCTCTCCTGACCCGCCTACTGCCCCCCTCAGCAGTGTGCTTCAGTAGATCTGCCTGTTCCGCTCCCTACTCTGTCTCAGGTAAATCCTTTCAAACCCCCTCCCCACACACACACCTCTGAGCTGTACCCCAGTTCTGTATGCGTAAACAAATCTTTTTTTAAAAATGTACTATTAATGCACATTAAACTGTGCATAAAGTGTCATTACGCAATGACCCTTTCATGCCAAAATTTGGATCTTCAGCAATAAACCAGGCAACTTAAACTCTAAAAACCAACCCCCTCCACAAGGTAGGCATCAGATACGCAACACTTAAGGACAAATATCAGAGGCTCATGGAAGTTCTCTGTCACAGGTGAAGGACATTTCAAGCAAATGTTTCTCTCCATCAAAGAAGAGTAAAATTATCAATTTGGTCGATCTGATAATTCCCCCAGGAGCTTACAGGAAATCAAGATATTTGGGTGTAGCTTGGAGATAAGTTTGACACAGCTAGGTAAAAGTCACATGTGCAACATTACTTACTATCTTCTCAGGCAATGAAAATGCTTTCAAGTTTAATCTAATCATTCCCCAAAAAGATTTCATAGGTGTCAAAAAAATTAGGATTAACAACCAAAAAATGTATGTATTTTAAACAGCCCAACTTTTATTGTATAAACCAATGACAGCTACTGGAAGATGCTTTAGGAAATCTTAGCTAAGCCACATAACAATCAGGCCTATACAAGTTAGAATCTACACGCTTCAGAACTGAAAAAACAAAGTTGTATGGCCCATGGGCATACAACTTAGTTTCTACCAAAAGCACATTTTTTTCCCAAAGGGGCGATGGAAATAGCAGTTAACAAGATCTGGGTAAGACTCATGGTTAGACAGGAAAGTCTCAGTTGCTTGATACAAGATAAACTCATCAGTGTTATAGTTTCTGAATCCATTTTAAATGATTAGTACACAAGTGGGGGCCGGGAGGATTAGGATGATTTAATTATACCTTCAAAAGAAAGCTCCCACTGGAGACAAAACGAGGTCACAGTCCAGGTTATAAGAATCTAGGTTACATGGCAAGTTGTTAAAGGTGGTACATGACTATTTTCATACTAAGTTCATGCTTCAGGTAAGAAATCCTATTTTCAGAATTACAGGCAATTCCAGTTTACCAGCACAAAGTCAGGTCACAGAGAGACACAGAAAGAGCGTGCAGAACCCAGTTCATCTCCCTTTCAGGGCCAGCTGTCTGGGGCTGGAGGTGGCATCTAACTCCCTACCTGCTCCCCTCAAAACCAAGACCTGTGAGAGCAGAGGGCTAGCACAGAAGTGAGGAGGCAGACTGTCACTACAGGGGACCCACTCAGCATGGTGCCAATCTGCTCAGTGTTCTCATCTCCAGGAGAAAAGAGGAGACTTGAAATCCCACAACTGAACAAAGTGATTAACAGCCTGACTGGGAAACCTAAGAAATTGGCATTCTTATATCTGAAATGAATTGCTCTAGTTGGAAGGAAGGCACTTCCTTTGCAAAGTGGTGTCCTAAAGTTTCAAGCCAAGCAAGCTCGTGTGTACAATGTTGTGTTTTAAATGTACCAGAAAAGGAACTAAACCATTGAAAAAGGAAATCTACCAGGAAGATTTTGGCAATTTGAAGTAGATACCACTCCCCACCCCAATCTGTAAATTGTAATACTGAATTTTTATTGAAGTAAAGCACACTAAATCAAATCAAACCAATTACAAAGATACATGAGTCACACCAAGGAAACATTTTCAAGTTATGCTGACAACCCGAAATGCTTTCAAATTTTCAGACAGTTTTAATGCCATGGGAAAAATGCTCACGACGTTAAAATGAAAAAAGCAAGATACAGTCCATATATGCAGTATGATCTCAACTAGGAAATAATTTTAATATTACACATTGAAAGAGACTGGAAGAAAATGCACCAAACATTTTACTGCAGTTATCTCTGTAGGGTGGGATAACAAGATGTTCAATGTCTTTCTTTGAAGAATTTTTCAGATTTTCCAAGAAATTAGTATATAAACCAGAAAGGTAGTGAAAAAAAAAATTAAAAGTCAAATGTTAAACTGCTTCTTGACTACCAACAGATTATTAGGTAAATAAAATGGCTGTGAGGCCTGGACACATAGCCTCCTCTTACACCTCAGTGGAAAAAGGTCCAACAATTTTATTGCAAATTCAAGAGACAATTTTGTATCTTGAGTTCAGTCCTAACCCCAGAAGCTAAAGTCTAGTCTTAAAAATATACAGAAAATGCCAACTTTTCATCAAAAAATTTAATGCTATCTTAATTGCCTTAATTGTTCTTGTTCTCAAAGGCTGGTTTGACAATGGGCATTAA